ACACACACACACACGCACACCGTGCTGGGCAGGAGCAGCTGCTGCATGGTGTTCTGGGAAGAACCAAGGGAGAGAGGGAAAACAACCCCACCCATGGCAGTGACCCCAACGCTGGAGCAAGGGGGGGCGGGCAGGCAAAGGGTCGGGAGCAGGGAGCATGGCCCACCCTGGAAAGCTCACAGCCTGCAGATCTGGGAGGGCAGGAGACCTGGGGAAAGATGAGGAACCAAGACCCCTGCTCCCTGGCAGACACGCCGACGCACACAGGGACAGGTGTTTGTTGCAAGAATGAATGAATGAATGAATGAATGAATGAGAGGACTCCGGAGAAAGAGACAAACCTGTTATGGTGAAAGAGACGAACACAAGCCAGGCACAGTGGCTCATGCCTGTGATCCCAGCACTTTAGGAGGCTGAGGTGGGTGGATCTCTTGAGCCCGGGAGTTCAAGACCAGCCTGAGCAACATAGTGAGACCCTGTTTCTATTTAAAAAGAAAATGGCCAGGAATGGTTGTGCACGCCTGCAGTCCCAGCTACTCAGGAGACTGAGGTGGGAAGATCACTTGAGCCCAGGAGGTCAAGGCTGCAGTAAGCCGTGATTGCGCCACTGCATTCTGGCCTGGCAGACAGAGCAAGACCATGTGTCCAAGCAAACAAACAAACAAACAAAAAACATAGACAGATGGACACAGAGATGAAGAGGGAGGATGTGGCACGCATGCGCGCACACACACACACGCACACATACATACACACACACACATCGTCTTGCTTTGATGCACTCACACAAGGACAAACTGCAGGAACAAAATGAAGACGACAGACACAGAGAGGGCAGAAGGTGGGCAGCATCCACAGCCTGCCCGGCACGGCATTCGCCCAGGCCTGGCAAGACGAGGGACCCAGTGAATCTGTAGCCCAGGCACCATACTTTTGGGACCCCAAGAAAAGGTTTCAATTTCTTTTAAAATCAGAAGAAAAATGAACTTTTAACTCAAATAAAATGTTTCAGTATGTCCTATTTAATATATTCGTGTTGATACCAATGCTATCGTAACATGTAATTTTTAATTTTCTTTTCTAAGGAAAGGGCAAATGTGCCTAGGCCCACAAAAGTCCAAATGGGACTCCAGGTGGGTGCCCAGCCTGCGACAAGACCAAAGTCAGGACAGATCTCACTGCAGGGAGTATCAGAGACAAGGGAACCCAGCAAAGGGGGTTATCGGGGGGCTTCCCAGAGGAGGTGGGATTTGCAGGCTGAAGAAAGGAAAGACGTTGGCCAGGCGCGGTGGCTCATGCCTGTAATCCCAGCACTTTGGGAGGCTGAGGCGGGCAGATCACGAGGTCAAAAGATCAAGACCATCCTGGCCAACCAACAGGGTGAAACTCCGTCTCTATTAAAAATACAAAAATTAGCTGAGCGTAGTGGTGCACACCTGTAGTCCCAGCTACTTGGGAGGCCGAGGCAGGAGAATTGCTTGAACTCAGGAGGCGGAGGTTGCAATGAGCCAAGATCGCGCCATTGCACTCCAACCTGGGCAGCAGAGTGAGCCTCTGTCTCAAAAAAAAAAAAAAGAAAGAAAGGAAAGATGTCAGGCAGAGGCACCGTGAGCAACGCCTGCATGGTCGGGATCAGGATGCCACAGGTCAGCCGGAGCCAGGCCAGAACGGCAGGTGAGGGAGACACAGGGCTCTGAGTGGGGCCAGAAGCGGGAAGAGGAAGTGAAAGCCACAGCAGAGCGTAAATGAGAGACAGCTGAGCCACCCGGGGCACGGGGCTCTGTGCTGGAGGTCCCCCTGCAGACACAGTGGGAGTGGACAGGTGAGTTGAGTTTTCGGAGGTTGCAGGTAAGATGTCCAGGGATGGTTGCCAGGGAAACTGTCCAGGAGGCAAGCCTTGAGGCTGAGGCTGGACCAGGATGGGGAATGAGGAGAAGAACACCCCAGAGGCCAAGTCCAGGAGCCTCTGGGACAGGGGAAGTGAGGTGAGCGAGAGATTCATGCACAGACACACGTGTACACAGATGCACACAAACACTGACATGGCGGCAAGAACAGGAGGGAGGGAGAAGGGGAAGTCAGGTGGGAGGAAGATGGACAGACACAAAGGCACAGAGATCTGGACACATGGACACAGGCATATGTGCCCATACACACAACCTGGGGGTGGAACAATCAAAGAAAGAGATGAGCATTTAATGAGACCACAGCAAGAGGCAGGCGAGAGGCAGAGGCTGACGCACAGACAGACAGATGGACACGGCCCCAGGATCCCAGGAGACACGCTCCAAGGGCTGGGTGGGAAAAGCAGCAGAAAGGGGAGGGCTGCGGGGAGTGAGAATCGGGATGGACCTCACAGACGACAAACAGATGGACAAAAAGTTTCTGTGCCCACCGCTCCCTTCCCACCCCCAATTCCAGCCCCTCTGTCTCCATCCCTTTTCCTGTCTGTCCTGTCTGAATCTCTGAGTCTCTGCTCATCTCTTTTTCTCTCTATGAACCACAGCGTTTCAGAGCCTCTGAGAGAAAAATGGGAAAAGAAGACAGAGATGATAGAAAATGCAGAGAAGAAACTCTGTGTGTGTGCGCGTGTGTATGCGTGTGTGTGTGCATGTCTGTGCGTGTCTGTGCATGCGTGCACCCAGCATGAAGTCTGGTCTGGAGAATGTAACTAGGGTGGGAGGAAGAGAGGGGACGAGAGAAGCAGAGGATGAACAAAGAGACTTTCGAAGCTCATAGGACGAAGCCTGGGAGGCCACAGGAGCAGGGACACGCATATGCCGCACACCCCTACACACACCACACACCCCCTGCACGCACCCTGGAGACATGCCCCAGACTCCAGATGGGAGGGGCGGCGCAGGGGGTGTGAAATGTGGTTGGTTGGTTTGTGTTTTCCTCTATCTTTCCTACTTTGCCAGAAAGAGTATATATTATTTTTTGTCATGGGGGAAACATTTTATTTTTCTCAGAAAGAAAAAAATGCGTGCAGAATTAACAGTAAAACCAACTGAAGGCAGAAAAGGAAGGTTGAGGGGACATGGAGCTCTGGGGTAGCATTTCCCCTGGAGACACCTGGACACTACACAGGGCTGAAGGAGGGGACAGTGGGGCCAGGAGACTATGGCCCAGGCAGAGTGGATGACATCTCTTGCCTCTGCACTGCATCTCTGTGTGTCTATCTGTCTCCCTTACACACCGAGTACAGTACAAGCCAACTGGACACAGGCCCAGAGTGAGGAGGTCCCAACCAGAGAAGGAGCCAGAGACAGGAGGGGGAGAGACAGAGCAACTTTCCCACCTGCCTCCCCTGAGTTACCCATGTGGCCAGGCCTGGGATCATCAGGGAGAACGTCACCCAGTCCCTCAAGTGCTTGTTCTAGTGGGCGGGCTGACAACCTCTGCGGATTCCAGGGTATCAGGGAGAGCTCCCAGGGCCGGTCTGTGGCCTCGGAGATGTGCTCTGCAGGATGAATAGGAGTTTGCCAGGTTGTACAGCGGGAAGAAAGGGCATTCCCAGCGGTGAAAACAGCCTGGGCAAAGGCATGGAGGTGTGGGAGGGCCTGGGAAGAGTCAGAGATGGGAAGAGGTGGATGGGGAGAAAAATGTGAGAGGCAGAAAGGGAGGGTGGGGACTAAAGAAAGAGAGACAGCATCCAGGCAAAGAGGAAAAGAGACAGAAATTAGCAACAGTGAGACAGAAAGACACATAGAGAAAGAAAAGGAAAATCAACCAGGCGCAGTGACTCACCCCTATAATCGCTACACTTTGGGAGCCCGAGGGGACAGATCACCTGAGCCCAGGAGCTCAAGACCAGTCTGGGCAACTAGCAAGACCCCGTCTCTACACACACACACACACACACACACACACAAAATTAGCCAGGGTATGAGGGCGCGCACCTGTGGTTCCAGCTACTTGGGAGGCTGAGGCAGGAGAATGGCTTGAGCCCAGGAGGTGGAGGTTGCAGTGAGCCACTGCACTCCACCCTGGGGACAGAACAAGACTCCATCTCAAAAAAAGGGAGGGAGGGAGGGGAAAGGGAAATAAAAGAAAAGGAAAGAGAAAGAAAGAAAAAAGCAAGGAAGGTGGGGTGTGGGATTTTAAAACCCTACATATTAGGTACAACGTACGCTACTCGGATGACGAGTATACTACAAAATTCACCCATATATAATTTATCCATGTAACCAAAAACCACTTGTAACCCCAAAAGCTATTGAAATTTTTAAAACTTAAAAAGAAGAAACAGGAAATTGATGTAAGGCCAGAGAGGGCTGAAGAGGCACTGACAGACAACAGAGAGGAAGACAGAGAAAGGCTCAGACGGACAAGAAAGAGGAGAAAGGCCCCGCCGTGGCGGGTCCCGCCTGTGCCGGCGCGGGGGGTTGGGATTGGACCCTGCCACGCCGCGCATGCGCACTCCTGACCTGCCGCGGCAGCACGGGCGAGAGCTTTGTCCCCGGCGTGCTCGCACGTGGCCCTGCGCCCCCGGGCACACGTGGGTCCCGCCGGGAGTGGCCAGCGCTGCGGGTGGGAGCCCAAGCTCACACGGGTCCACACGGGCACGCATGCTGTCCCCACCCACATCCACGTGAACCCAGCTGCACACCTCGGTGCCCACACACCCCAGGAGCCCACAGGCTCATGAACCCCGTGGATCTGTGTTCACACAGTACACACACAGCCAGAGCAAGCGGACCGGCTTACCTCATCCCGTTAATGCCCACACACATCTGGGACACATCTCCATGAGCCCAGGCTCACAGACCACCTAGACAGCTGCTCACACACAAACATCCAAACACCATGTCTGCGAACAGAGCCCACGCACATACTCCCATGAACAGAAAGGCACACGCATCCAGGTACGCTCCCACCAGCAAGCAGAGAACACCTGCCACAACCTCACATCCAGATCATCTCTACTCTCGAGACACGCACATCCACACACACACCCCTGTGATCTCCAGATGCCACCCTGACCCGGACACTATGATTTGTTGAAATTCGTTTTTAATTAAGCAATGTTGCAGCCAGAGTTGACTCCAGTGTACAGGTGTGTGATCTGATGTATATTTGTGTAAAATAAATGTGTTCGTATAGACGGTTGCAAATCAACCTTCAAGACTGCGTGCTTTGGTGGTGGGGAAGGAGGGAGGAGGGGAAGGGTCTTTGGTGTTTCTTCAGCATTTTCAGGACTTTTGTGGATGGATCCAGCACCCCTGCCCTGCACTCCTAGGAAACACGTAAAGAGCACACACAGTGGCATTCTCGTCGTGTATTTGTGATCTCCTCTAGGCAGGCCTGACAGCCCCACCCACTCCCCAGTGTCACTGCTACCATCCACCATGGACATTTGAGTCCTGAACTTGTCATGCTCGGGGAAGTCCTGTGATGTGCCTTGTCCTTCTCCCAGGTGCTCACCCCCAAACACAGGTGCAGATGTGCACAAACAGCCACATTCTGCCGTAGCTGTCTCCAGTCTGATCATGTCACCCCTGCCTTGGCCTGAAGCCCTCCAGCTACTAGTACTGCCCAAAGACCCCTCGAGGGGCAGTTTATTCTCGCATATTCCGCCCCATCTCGCTCTCCAGCACACAGTAGATGTTCAATAAACTGTTGATCAAATTCTGAGGTCTGCTTGTGTTTAATCAGACAATATGCAAAGTATTTACAACCAATTCTGGATACCCCCACCCCCCCATGTCTGGGCCTTGGAATTTGGGACCCCCAGACCCGGCCCAGAGTCAGGGGTCCCCCAGGCCTCTGCATAGTCATCTGAAATCTACAAAACACTGTTAAAAAAAAAAAAAAAAAAAGGACAGTATTAAGACACCTTACACAAAGGGCCTTAGGCAGTTGGAGAGGGATTTGAGAGCTCGCTGGGGTGAGTGAGCCCAGACTTGACTGGAATGGACGGGAGAAGACTTGGGTAATAAACATGTACGAAAAGAAAAGTTGAAATTTCATAGGCAGGCACTGCTTGACCTCCTTCCCCACTGGCAGGGCCTGGCTGGCTCAAGAACCCTTGGCAGTGGGAATGTTATTGCTATGACGAGGGGGCCATGGTGAAATGTACATGTTTGGGGGACGGAGCAGGGGGGGCATTTTTACATGTTAAATATGGACGCACATGGAGACACACACACATGCACACGCACACACACACAGGGACCCTTGGCAAGATGCCACAAACTGTCAGCTGCCCCTTTACACATGGGCACACTGAGGCCCAGGGAGAATCTACCACACACCCTAAGGCTGAACAGAGCCAGAGCCCAGTCTCCTGACGTCCCAGGGCTGGGCTCACCATGGATGTCCTGCCACAGGGCCTGGACTGGAGCTGAGCAGTTGCAGAGGCCATGGCCACATGTGGGGCAGACGCTGCAGCCCAGAGAGAAAGCAGGGGAAACCCAAGGTTACACAGCCAGTCCTGGTGCATGGCAGTGGGTAACACGTCCTCTTTCACCCCTGCCTAGGCACTCTTTTCTCTCCTCATGAGTTAAAGGGTGCCAACTTGGGGAGGAGAACAGGGCCAGGAATTGAAATGCCACAGGACAAAGTACGGGGAAGGAGGCCAGGACCAGGGCCTCCTGGACTCTTGGCTCTTCTATGTCTGTTTGATTGCCTCCAGAGCCCCGGGGCTCACTCCCTTTCATGGCCGGCTGGCTCTGAAGGTCAAAAATCACCCACAAGCTGATTGAAGCCTCTCTCTCCACACTTGCACCTTTCACCCTGATTCCCAGCTCAGCCCCACATCTGCCTCCATGCTGTTCCCGACAGCTGGGCTGAGTGGGCAGCGGCAGTGGGAATCTGCCGTCTTGAATGCATCCTCAGACCCCTTGTCTCCTGGACTGTCCCAGTCTTTCCGTGATTCCTCCGACGAACTGTTGGTTCCTGAGGAAGACAGAGGGAGCACCAGGTTCCAAGCCCACCTCCACTCTGAACTGCTCCGTGGCCTTGGGCATGTCACATCCCCTCTCTCGACTGCCTCCCCATGGGTGAAATGGGGGCAAGGAAGTGATGATCTCAAAGGGTCCATCAGGTCTAAGGAGGGCAGGGTTTGAGGGGGTACTCATCCCACCCACCCACCATCATCAGGTCAGGCGAGGCCTCGTGCTGCCCAGCCTGGGAGCAGCGGCAGAGGGTCTGTCTCAGCAGCCTCCGCCTACAGGTGTTTCCAGAACGGATGGCGAGGGGCAGGGTGGCAGGCAGGCAGGGCCAGGGCCCTCTTTGGAAAGGCTCTTTGGCCAGCTCTCGACATAGACCGGCGGTGGCACAGAAGTGGGGAAGGAGTTCAGTGAGTGGAGTAGGCTGAGGCTGGAAAAGGGCACCCTCAGCCCCGGACCCAGCCCTTCTCCCGGTTCTTCTTCCAGAGACCCACAGAGCTCCAGGAGGGAGTGCGGGGAGGAGCGTGCGGCTACAGCGGGAGCCGGACAGAGTCACTGTGCTGGTCTCGCACGCCTGCCACCCTCTCGGGCCACCCTAGGTCCAGAAGCCCCTTCCATGCCACCAAAGAGGGAGGGGCCTCGCCCCTGACAATTCAGCCCCACAGAGAGAGGACCAACAGCAGGCAGGCAGAGCGAGGCAAGCCCCGAGACAGGGGCCACCCAGCCCAGAATCCAAGCCGAGAAGCCGGTCTGGGCCCGCCTGCACCTAGAGGTTCTCCCCGGGCTGGTACTGGGGCTCGGTGGACGTGAAGTAGTCCTCCAGGAAGGCCTGCAGGTACTCGAAGGTGGGCCGCTCCTCAGGCTCCTTCCGCCAGCACTGGCACATGAGGTCGTGCAGGGACTCGGGACACTCCGGTGGGCAGGGCATCCGGTAGCCCCGCTCCACCTGGTCCAGCACCTCGCGGTTCACCATCCCTGTGGGCAGAGCAAGGCATGGGGAGCCCGGCTCCAGTGAGGAAAGTGGGGTGGGGGAAGCTGATGGGGAGGACAGCGAGGGCTTCCTGCCTAGGACAGGTTGAGTGTGACCATAGGTAGGTCCTGTCCCCGAAGCTGAGAGCATGGACCATCGGGAGAGCCTAACATCAGATGCTCAACTTCTTTGTTGTACGGATGGGGAAACGGGCCCAGCAGGAGTCATGACTTGCCCAAGGCCACCAGGGCAGACGGGTTCGGGGACTAGAGACGGGCCATGAGGACCTTCTTACCAGGGTAGGGCACCCGTCCCTTCGTGGTGAGCTCAGTCAGCAGGATCCCAAAGGACCACACGTCCGACTTGATGGTGAAGCGGCCATACAGGGCAGCTTCCGGAGCTGTCCACTTGATGGGAAATTTGGCACCTGCAGGAACAAGAAAGGTCGGGGCAGCTCTGACCTCCTGTTACGACCACTCTGGTAGATAAGCACCATGAGGAATGACAGATGAGGAAACAGACTCGGAGCGGGATGTGACCTGTCCCAGGCCAAGTGCAGCATACCACACAGTCCCTGCTCACCTTGCCGGGCCGTGTACTCATTGTCTTCGATGAGCCGAGCCAGCCCAAAGTCGGCCACTTTGCACACCAGGTTCTCTCCCACCAGGATGTTGGCTGCACGAAGATCCCGGTGGACGTAGTTCATCCGCTCCACGTATGCCATGCCTGAGGCGATCTGCAGGTGGAACCGCGGGAGCCCAGCTCAGGTGCCACCCATGCCCTCCCAGGGCCACATAGCACCCTGGGGCTGGAAAGCCAACCACCCCTTCCCCACCCTTCCCACACTTCTTCAGGCAAGTGAGGTCAGTTCACAGTAAATGCTGTTGGCATTGAAAGCAGGAGCAGTGCTCTGTGGGAATAGAGAGCACAGGGCAGAGGGTAGAGGGCAAAGGTCAAAGGGAGGCACAAGATTAGATGCAGCCAGGAAAGCGAGGTGACCATGGAAAGAGGCCCCAGCGGACCCAGACACAGATGAGTGTCAGGTCCTGCCTGTTGCCCAAGTCTCTCTGAGCCTGTTTTCTCATCCGTCCAGTGGGAATAACAGCCAATCCTCGTCACTCCCGGTCGTGATGAGGATTAAATGAAAAAAAAAACACTTGTTGAGCACTGCCTGCAGCCAGCGCGAACACATGTCTGCTGAGCGCTACATGATCTTTACACAGACGACAACTGAGGCCTGAGGTCCCACAGTAAGTCAGTGACCCCTGATGCCCAGGTAAGGGCTTTCTGTTGCCCAGAATCACCACTCAGGGCACCTGTAAGCAGACCTGGTAAATACGTGCAGCAAGATCAATGAGTGTGGAGGCAATCAAGGTAGGCTTCTTGGAGGGGGCACTCAAGAGGCCAGAAATGGCTGCACCAGATGGGACTGGGTGCTTGAGGACCAAGGGTGTGGGGAGGCGGGAAGGGCTGACTCACCTGAGCAGCCATGTCCACCAGCTGAGGCAGCCGCAGGTACTTGCCCGTCTCCCCCTTGAGAAAGTCCAGCAAACTCCCTGGGCAGAGAGAGATCCAGCTCCAGCTCCTGCCCTGTCCCTCTGCCAGGATGCAGTGATTCCCAAAACCTGTCCTCCCAGGTGGCTGGCCTTGCTTTAACCAGCACAGCAAGGCCTCACTCAGTGCTTCTCACTCAAAAGGCAAGCAGCACGGGAAACAACCAGAAGTCCACCTCCAGGTGAACAGGTAAACTGTACTAATGCAGACAGCAGAGTCCTGCTCAGCGACAACAGGAACAAACCGCTGGGAGACACAACAGGGATGCATTTCAGGCCGAGCGTGGTGGCTCCTGCCTGCAATCCCAGCACTGTGGGAGGCCGAGGCGGGAAGATCACTTGAGCCCAGTAATTTGAGACCAGCCTGAGCTACACAGTAAGACTCTGTCTGTACAAAAAATACCAAAAAAAAAAAAAAAGTAGCTGGGCAGGGTGGTGTGCACCTGTAGTCCCAGCTACTTGAGAGGCTGAGATAGGAAGATCAATTAAGCCTGGGAGATCAAGGCTGCAGTGAGCTATGATCACACCACTGCACTCTAGCCTGGGCAACATAGCGAGACCTCGTCTCAAAAAATAAAAAATTAAAATTAAAAAAGTAAAAAAAGGATGCATCCCAGATGTAAAAGATTCCATGTAATAAATTCTAGAATAAACAAAACAAATCTATAATGACAGAAAGCAGATCAGTGGGTGCATGGGTTTGGGGCTGGACGGTACTGTCCGCAAAGGGCACAAGGAACTTTCTGGGTGATGGAGATGTTACATAATTTCATTATGGTTAGGTACACAGTAAATCCACTTGTTAAAACTCACTGAACTGAACACTTAAAAGGGGTATATTTTATCATATGTAAACTATACCTCCAAAAAGTGGAATTTTGAAAACTAACTAATTAGTTTAAAAATTATTATGGCTCACACCTGTAATCCCAACACTTTGGGAGGTGGAGGTGGGAGGATTGCTTGAGCCCAAGAGTTCGAGACCAGCCTGGGCAACATAGTGTCCCATCTCTACAAAAAATAAAAAATTAGCTGGGCCTGGTGACACACACCTGTGGTCCCAGCTACTTGGGGGGCTGAGATGGGAGGATGGCTTGAGCCTGGAAGGTTGAGGCTGAAGTGAGCTACGACTGTACCACTGCACTCCGGCCCAGGAGACCCAGGATTTGGCTCTACCGCATTTCATCTTTGAAGATGCCCATTCTAGACATGAGGGGAAACGAAGCTCATGCCCCCTGCCCCTGCCCGGCCGCCCAGGCCTCACCCTTGCTCATGTACTCTGTGACGATGTAAATGGGCTCCTCCGAAACCACAGCATACAACTGCACCAGCTTCTCATGCCTCAGCTTCTTCATGACCTGGGCCTCCTGCAGGAAGGCCTCTGGAGACATCGTGCCAGGCTTCAGGGTTTTGATGGCCACCCTGGTAGTGCCGTTCCAGGTCCCTGTTGAGGAGGGATGCAGGCTGCCTCAGTGGAGCCCCTCAACTCCTACTGCACAGGGATCCAGGATCTGCTCACCTGGGTGTTGGTGTCAGCTGTGGCCTCCACAGCCATGTGACAAACCCAGTCAAAGCCTGGGCCCTTTCTGAGCCTCAGTCTCCCCATCTGTACAATGGGTACAATGGCAGGGTGCTCCTCACAGGATTGTTACTAGGATTAAATGCTCAAGAACCAGTAGCTGTTGTTGGGACTGTGATTGATTGATTGATTGATTGATTGATTGATTGATTTTTTGAGACAGAGTCTCGCTCTGTCGCCCAGGCTGGAGTGCAGTGGCACGAACTTGGCTCACTGCAAGCTCCGCCTCCCAGCTTCATGCCATTCTCCTGTCTCAGCCTCCTGAATGGCTGGGACTATAGGCGCCTGCCACCACGCCCGGCTAATTTTTTTGTATTTTTAGTAGAGACAGGCTTTCACGGTGTTAGCCAGGATGGTCTCGAACCACCCGCCTTGGCCTCCCAAAGTGCTGGGATTACAGGCGTGAGCCACCGCGCCCAGCCTGGACTGTGATTATTAAGAATGTCCAGGCCGGGCGTGGTAGCTCACACCTGTAATCCCAGCACTTTAGGGAGCTGAGGTGTGTGGATCATTTGAGGTCAGGAGTTCAAGACCAGCCTGGCCAACATGGTGAAACCCTGTCTTCATTAAAAATACAAAAATTAGCCAGGCGGTAGTGGTGTGTGCCTGTAATACTGGGTACTTGGGAGGCTGAGGTAGGAGAATGGCTTGAGCCTGGAAGGTGGAGGGTGCAGTGAGCCGAAATCACGCCACTGCACTCCAGCCTGGGTGACAGAGTGAGAGCCTATCTATAAATCCTTAAAAGAAGCTTATTAGCATGACAGATAGGGGACCAAGGTTCCAACTCAACCGGTGTCACTCCTGGGTTGGTCATGTTCCCTCTGGCAGGACTTTGAACGTGCCTCATGTGTTAGCATGCAATGTGTACTGGTGGAGGCCAGGGGTGACGTGGAGCTGGCCCAGGGACTGCGGAGGCTGCTGCCAGAACAAGAGGTCACCTCTGGAGCCCACCCATCCCAAAAAGTGAGACACTGTCCTAAGCATGAGGGTTTGGGGGTCAGGCTGGCCAGAGCCTGACTCCCACCTTCACCTCCAGCCAGCAGAGAGACAATGGGAGAGTCAGTTCCCCTCTCTAAGCCTCAGTTATCTCATCTGGAAAATGGGGATTCCACAGTGTCTATTGGTGGAGCTGTTTGAGGACTGAATGAGATTTTAACCACTGGGCCAGCCCCACCGTGAGGGCTCAGTAAGTAATGCGGTTATCGTTTCACTACTATCTGCTTTTCTAACTGGGGGCTCTGGGGGAAGCTGTATTCTAGACCTGCATGTTTAATCCAGGTTCTTGTCCCAGCAGGCCTCAAGGTTCCTTTGCTGTGTGACCTTGGGCCCATTCCTCCCAGTTACTGGGCCTCTCTCCAAGGGTTAGGGCTCGGGCCCACCTCTGTGGCCCTCCTGGCTCAAGCCATCTGCATGTGGCACTTCATGAGTCGACCTGGAGCACTCAGGGAGGAAGTGAGGCCCTTCCCAGGGTCATCACCACTCACCGAAGCCAGAAATGAGTTTTGCAGCCACCAGAATGGCTGACGCTGTGCATTCACCCAGGTTTCGCTCAAGTCCTCACTTTGTGGCTGTGCTCACACCCTGGCTTCTCACCCCTCTCCCCTCTCACCAGCTCAAAGCCCACGCCTCCCCCTTCCAGACGGCCTGACCTCCAGCCTCCAGGCCTCTGTCCCTGCAGTGCCTTCCACCCAGGAGGCCTCTCTGCTGTCCTCCATCAGCACTCTGGAGGGTGGAGAGTGGAGGCAGTGGGACTGAGCCGAGATGCGGCTCAGATGAAACCACCTTGAAAACAGCACACCGTGATCCCCGCTAGCACCATGGGCTTACGGGCTTACGAGTGCTGTCCCTCCTCCACCCTGGCCTCCGGTCCCTCTGTGTGAGCAGAAAGCAACCGGTGGACGAGGGGCCTGGGTTTTGTCAGGGCTGCACGGTGCTCATGCTTTGCTGTTTCTCCAGGGTTAGACAGGAAATCGCTAACAGGCTCAGACCATGCCAGAACTAAGCTTCCCAGCACCTCCTCCCACGAGCCAGGCTTCTCTCTCCATGGCTAACAGCTGGTGTGTGGACATGCACTGGGCCAGGGCCTCCACAGCCTCCCATAGGTCCCACTGTCACCAGCCCCATTCATAGTCGGGAAGATTCAGACTCCGAGTGAGGCCACCGGGCCCAGCCTACACAGCAGGTCTGTGCAATGCCCAGCCCTGTGCGGATCTTGGAATCAGGTGCTATGGTTTACACGGTCTGGGGCACAGCGCTTGGGGGGCCACATCCCAACTCGGTGCCAGCCACCGCTGGGGGGCTCCAGATTCACAACAGGGCCCCGTCGTCTAGCAGGCAGCTAAAGGCAAAGGGACCAACAGAGCCCAGAGCTGCCACACAGGGTGGGGGATGGATGCCTCTCCCGAGGGCAGGGGCCAGGCCTTACCCATCCACACCTCGCCAAAGCAGCCCTGGCCCAGCTTGACCTCCAGCCGCAGCGACTCCCGAGGGATCTCCCAGGCATCCTTGGCCAGGCCCTGAGTCTGAGGCTTGGATGTGGGGCACACAGTGGTGAGGCGGTGGCACAGGCCATCGGCGTGTTCTGAGGAGGAGGCAAGAGGAGCAGTTGGGGGGGCTTCTGCCCTGGGGCATCCCTGCCCCTCAGTGTGTGTCACCCTACATGCCAGATGCACGCAGATTTCAGGAGACACACAGGGCGCCCTCAAAGCCAGGCATCTACATCTATGGGCACACAGTCCCACCCCCACACAGGCCCACAGTGCTTTATGCATCTGCTGAGTCAGTCATTCAGCAGACAATAGGGGGTGCCAGGGACCCTGCGGGGAACAAGTCCAGGGAATCTACCCTCAGGAACTCGGAGTCCAGGGAGGAGCCCCAATTCCCTAATCACCTCCCAGGACCACAGACATGAATGTGACTGGAGGAGAGCTGTTCGCGCAATAGCAGGAGGGTCCTGGGAGGCTTCCTGGAGGAAGCAGCAACTGAGCTTGGATGTGCAGGAGGGTGAGGGGTTAAGCAGGGAAGAGCCCTCCAGGCAGGGGCACTGCCAGAGCAAAGGCTCTGAGGAAAGAATAGCTGCAGGGCTGAAGAAGCGGAGGCAAAAGTAGCTGCAGGGAGCAGGTGGGGAAGGGCGGCACCAGGCGGAGGTGGGGAGGCAGCTGGGATTAGACCACTCGGGGGCTGGTGGGGGTCTTTATCCCAAGATTCCAAGACAGCCCCTGGAGAGTTCTGATCTGAGGGAACGGGGTTCAGCATGAGCCACACAGCGGTGGCCAAAGAGACAAGAGCATGGTGGGTGATCCCAGAGGAAGTCAGGAGGCCGAGCTGAGAGGAGGAGGAGACTTGGGGTGGGAAGTGGACCAACACCTGCACACAGAGGCCACGCGTGCCAGACACACGGGCACACAGGCACCCACAGGCACCCACAGGCCCCGACACTGCAGTCAGCTCCGGACGCCCAGGTGGGTGGGCTACAGCACTGCGCCCACGCCCGAGCCCTCACCCAGCACGCAAGCCCCGCGAGCTCCCTCTGCCGCTCTCTCAGTCTCTGCTGCAATCGATCTGGCCGCCCCCTCCTCCTCTCCCAGCAACCGGTTCAGACCGGTCCTAGGGCTACATAGACAAACGACACCAGCCTCCGTCCCCTCCCTTCCAGCTCACTCTTGGGCTCCTCAGGGCAGCCCCCTCCATACCAGCCAGCTGCAGAGCAGGAGCAGGGAGAGACGGGGACTGGGAGGAGGGGATCGGGGGAAAGAAGAGGAAGAAGAAGGAGACGGAGGAAAGTAGGGAAAACGGAGGAGAGAGGAAGGGAAGGGGGAGGGAGAAAGTGGGAAGGGGAGCAGGAAACCTGGCATCACAGGATAACAGAAGACCCCACCCTTCTAGGCTCCAAAGCCCCTCCCCAGGGTCTGCAGCTGAGGCTCTGCCCGCCCGCCCTCCGAGGCTGGCTCACTGGAGTAGTAGGCCACCAGCTGCTGCAGGCTGTTGAACTGGGTGCGGGAGGTGATGTAGAAGCCGCCGCTGTCCAGCTTGCGGATCTTGTAGTGCTTCACATTGAGGCCCTTGGCGTTGTCGAAGTCGGACACTGAGAGGCAGTAGGCACCTGCGGGGCACAGAGGGGAGCCGTGACCGCCACGCCCTCTCCCCCGCAGGCCGCAGCACTCAGCGCTGCTCTGGACACCGTTCTGTGCCTGCCTGACGTTGGAGGGAAGGGAGGCCCAGGCGGGGGCCCCGGCCCACCCTGTCTCTCAACAGCCAGCCCCGGGGCAGCCACAGAGGTAGGGCCAAGGGACCCAAGAGACACTTGATTGGAACGTTCTGCCACGCACCCTTGGCCCCAGCAAGACCCCCATATCTCAGGTGGGCATCCTAGCTATGGAACTTGGAGGGGTTGCTGGCTCTCTCTGGGCCTCAGTTTCCTCCTCTGCACAATGCGGGTGCTCCCAGGGCTGCTGGGGAGATTCCATGCCACCACATATAAAAGGGCCAGGCACACAGTAGGCACTCAATAACTGTTTGCTGGGAGCCTGTGAGTGGCTCCCTGTTGCTGTGTGGCCCTGGCCTAACTGCTTGCCCTCTCTGGATCGGCTCACGGGGGCACTGTCCGTGTCCCCCCCACCTCCTTTCTGAAGACAGGCCCAGGGTCAGGAGGGAGGGGGTGGTTGGCAGAGGCTGCCTGTCGTGGGCAGGAGACCACTGGCTGGGTGTGGCCTGAAGGCTGCCTGGGTCAAGCAGGGCCAGCCCTGGTGCCTCCCCTCTTTCTCTTTAGCCTAGAAAAGCTTTTGGCCAGAAAAGTTTCCTCCCATCCAGCAGGCCCAGGTAGGACCAGAGGCCAAGAGATGCCCAAATGGCATCAGGGAACAAGGCTGAGCCCTGGAGGCAAGGGCAGAGGCTCCAGTGGCCAGGAACGGCCTTCCCAGGAGCCTGGCCAGGCAGTGCATAGGCATGGGGGAAGCCCAGCCCTCCTAGCCCACAGACCTCCCCTTTGCAATCTTCAGGAGGAGGTTACGATCCCAGCGTACAGAAGAAATGAGGTCCAGAGAGGGAAGTGGCCAGCCTGGGGTCACCCGGCAAGCCAGAGACAGGGCTGGGGCTCAAACCCATACCCGAGGACTCAAAACCTGCCTTGGGCGACCGTGATTTTCTACTGACGGCCTGGCTGGTGCATGTGGAAGCTACAGGCCTGAGACTGAAGCCAACCCTGGCCATATGTGCATACACATACAGGCATGCCCGTGCCCAGTGGCCACATGCTCATACAGGTACACGCTCCCCAGGCCCTCGGGCACCAGACAAACCACAACAGTCCATTCCCACACAGCAACACACAGACAATTCCACCCCACATGCACACACACACACACGCCCAGACGTACACACAGCATGCACACCCGCACACGGCCGCACAACTGTACGTAAATGCACGGCTCGACATGGATGCTCTGCTCCCCATCTCCCGCTGAGCCCCAGGCCCACAGGAAGCAGCCCCGCTTGGTTGCCATGGTGATGGGCGCCTGCAACCCACTCTCAGAGGGGCTGGAGAGAAAGGGGATGGTCTTCATTCTCTGGCTCAGGGGAGGGACATGAGAAGGGCAGGGATCAGGACTGCGGTTGAGGGAGGGCAAAGCCAGCCTCCAGAATCCAGTGCAGCCCAGGGACCCCTGGGGAAGGGGAAGAAGCAGGGCTCTTTGTAGCAGCACCTACCCTGGGAACAAGCCTGTTACTGTGTGACACTCAGAAAAACCTCCAGACAACCTATGCCCATCTTTCATTTGAGAAAACTGAGGCCCGAGAGGCTAAGCCTCATCTTTCTCTGGACATCTGGCCACCGCAGGTTACTCAGCGTTCCTCAAATGCACCTCCCTGACTTTGATCCTGCCGTTACCTCCACCTGGAAGGCTCTTCCCTCCCTACTCCACAAACCAAACTCCTGCTCATTCCGAAACACCCAGCTCAAACCACTCACAGAAGACTCAGTATCCATTGGCCAACGAGAGTGCTCGTACCTTTTGTGGTCTCACTTTCTCGCACGAGGAAGGTCCCTCTCGGGTTCTCCGCATTGAGCAGTAACCGCTCTGACTCCCGTCTGGTGATCTTGCCAAAATACCACCTGAGAGTGGGAGGACGGAGGATGTTGCTGACTGTCCGGGCTTCTGCCCACTCACAGCACTTCTCCCTGGATATGGCTGGGGCGCTGGGCAGCCAGACCTCCCACCCCAGCCCAGGAGAGGTGCTCTGCACCGGCAGTGTCCAGGGACGACGGGTAGAGGCAGCCAGAGACAGTACTCACTCCTCGGCCTGGATGGAGTCGGAGGGCGCCACGTAGTTGCTGGGAATGTAGCCTGTCTGTCCCGTGCTGAGCGAGTGGGCCAGCCACCAGTCTCCCTCTCTGAGCAGGGACGGAAGGAGGGAGAAAAGGAGAAGGGAGCCGTCAGCCACAAGCCCAGCACCCACCATCCTCGTAGGTGCTGTGCTCAGGGCTCTAGTGGCTGAGGGAGGCCCAGGGAGGTGGTGGGGCCAGCATGAGCCCCCGCAGCATGCCAGGTCCAGCTGGCCTGGAACTCCTCCCCTCCCTGGCCCAGACGCCTTTTTGCCGAAGCTGGATCAGATGGACTTTGTCTAGGACCAGGGCAGGACTGGCCTTAGTCATCTGAGGCTCAAATCCACAGGGGAGGAGTCCCGGGACAGGAAGAAAGTCGCTTCCTTTCAGATGTACCAGGACATCTCAAGATGAGGAGAGCTGCCTTGGGAGGGAGGGAGGGAGCCCCCTGTCTCTGTGGGCAAGCAAGCTTGTAATAGAAGAGATTCCTGCCTGAGAGAAAGTCAAGTGAGACTTGAAAGTGTCCCCATGCTCTGAGATTCGGAAGCCTGCTCCTGGGAGCTGGTGAGACCTGGGTGGAGGCAAGCAGGGGCCCTTCTGGGACCCAGTGACCATCCAGGCCCCAACCCTGCAAACGAGAGCAAGGCTTGCCTCTGTCCCAAATCACGGGTCACACCTAAAGGGCTCCTCAGTTGAAAACTACAGGCCCCCTCCTCCAGCCTACCCATCTGCAGGGGGAAACTGAGGCCAGAGGGGGCTGGGACTTGCCCAAAGTCACACAGTGAGCCCTGTCAGAGGGGGTGAGGTGGCAGAGCCCCAATGCCCAGGGCACTTCTATGCGAAAGTGAGGAAAAGGGGGGGGGGGGCGGGTGATGGGGATGGGGCAGGAGGAGCTCCCGGCGTGGTCGGGTCCCCTGGGCCTGGGTGGGAGCGGGGAGGGGCGGAAGTACCTTTGCAGCCATCTGAATGTGAACCAGGTCTGGCTGGAGCGGGGGTCCAGAGACACAGAGGAGGGAGGAGAGAGCGAGAGCCCAACAGGAGAGAAGAGGCAGAGATGGGGGTGGTGAGAGGCGGAGAGTGGCAGAAAGAGCAGGGGAGAGAGCGGGAGAGCCAGGCGGTGCTGGGGACAGGGGACGAGGGGGCAGCCACAGAGGCCTCACATCCAAAGCAACCAAGGGGACAGGGACAGGGTCCACAGGGAGTGAGGAGAGGTCAATGGGCAGGGAGACCTGGGAACTAGGGTCCAGTCCCCTCTCATTCCCACTGTACAGCTGGGAAGACTGAGGCCAGAGAAGCAAAGGCCTCTTTGCTCAAGGTCACACAGCCAGGCCGGGGCTCCTGACTCCCAGATAGGAGCGCCCCCTACAGGGTGCAACAGGGCTTGACAGCTTGCTAGGCTCTTTTCAATCCAAGGCCACTTTTGCACTTCACCACGACCCTGAGAAGACACGCTGCAGGCAGGGTGGCCCCCACCCACCACCAGGGCCCAGAGAGAGAAAGGCCCTTGCCTACAGTCACACAATCTGAACTTAAACCTGGATCCCTGGCTCCCAGTTCTTCTGAGCTGCCCCTGGCCATATTCTTCAGCCCATATAGAAGATGGAGAAGTTGAGGCCAGGAGGGAGCAGAGCTTGGGGAGCTCTCCAGGGACCTGTCGGAGGACAGGTGAGCACCTGAGACCCTGGGGTTCTGCCAGAAGTGAGCCAGAGGGTGTGGTGTCCCCTCCTGATGGAGTGAGGCGAGGGCGTGTGACTGGGGCTGTGTGGCCTGTCTCGGCTCTGTGATGGCTGGACACACACTCAGGCAGGGAAGTAAGCTATGTGGGGTTACTGGAGGGAGGACCCTGGAGTAAGGGGGCAAGATCCACCTCAAGGAAAGAAGCCTTTGGATGTCCCAAATCCCCACCTACCTCCTTGTTGTATACCCACCCGGGGTGTCCACACTTGTCTCTCCCACTGACCCTCAAGGCCTGCAAGGGAGGAAGGCAGGGCCCCCAGATGAAGAAACTGTAGCTCAGAAGTGTCAAAGGATCAGCGCAGGGGCACACAGCACCCAGGCCAGAGTAGCCCAGCACTTTATTTATTTATTTATTTGAGATGGAGTCTTGCTTTATCGCCCAGGCTGGAGTGCAACAGCGTGATCTCGGCTCACTGCAACCTTCACCTCCTGGGTTCAAGCGATTCTCCTGCCTCAGCCTCTCAAGTAGCTGGGATTACAGGCGAGCGCCATCAAGCCCAGCTATTTTTTGTATTTTTAGTAGAGACGGGGTTTCACCATGTTGGCCAGGCTGGTCTCGAACTCCTGACCTCAAGTGATCTGCCCGCCTCAGCCTCCAAAAGTGCTGGGATTACAGGCGTGAGCCACCACCCCCGGCCAGCACTTTCTTTAGAGAGTTGGGGAAACTGAGGGACAGAGAGGTGCAGGGACTTGCCCAAAGCTACAAAGCAAGGACTCAAATCACAGAAAACAGCTCTCTGAGATCTTTCAGTTCAAAGCCTCCATTTACCAATGGGGGAAAACGAGGCACAGACAGGCCAGTGATTTGCCACACGGTCAATCAACGGCAGAGCAAGAGTGGGAAGCAGTGCCCCTGACTGTCCACAGCCAGGCACAGTAGGCCTCCCCAGGCCCCAGAGAGGCTGAGACCTTTGGGAAAGTCAGTGGCAGATGAAAGAGGAGGCTGCAGGGCTGGGGCAGAGGACAGGCCACAGCGGGAAGGGGCCAAGGTCTAAGGCCAGATGCTAAAAATTGAGGCCATTTGACAAAGCTACCGCCTGCAGGCTGGCCAGCCTCTGGGGAGCCTCCAGTCACCCACTCAGAGTGGAAGGCTGGCAGGAGGCCTCTGATCGGAGGTCAGCCAAGCAGGGCCCAAGAACAAGAGGAGCGCAGCTGACACTACCCAGATTTCAGTGAGCAGGGTTCTCACTCCCCAGAGTCAGCCCACCTGTGAGTCTGGGGTTTCATAGTCCAGTCCGGGGGTTTCATTTCACAGGGGACAGGGAGAGAGATGAGATGCACTCCAGTTTTACTGAAGGACCCAAGATCCAGTCTCAGCCTGGCCCCTGATTTAGAGGGGTCTGAGGGCATGAGCTGCAGTGCTGGACTGCCCTAGACACCATCCCAGCTTACCACTTGCTGGCTGTGTGACCTTGGCCCCTCCACACCACACTCACCAGTCTCAGTTTCCTCATTTGCAGGGTTAGCCATGTCTCCCTCCCAGGATATAAAATGCCAGATATAAAGTGCACGGTGGCTCATGCCTGTAATCCCAACACTTTGGGAGACCGAGTAGATGGATCACTTGAAGTCAGGAGTTCGAGACCAGCCTGGCAACATGGCGAAACCCCTTCTCTAATAAAAATATAAAAATTAGCTGGGCATGGTGGTGTACATCTGTAATCTCAGTTACTTGGGAAGCTGAGGCAGGAGAATCACTTGAACCCAGGAGGCAGAGATTGCAGTGAGCCAAGATCGCACCACTGCACTCCAGCCTGGGTCACAGAGCAAGACTCGGTCTCAAAAAAAAAAAAAAAAGCTATATCAGAGCCCAGCACAACATGCATCAGTTGTTAGATCTGGATTTAGCTAAAAAATAAAACTAGAAACAACTAAATCGATATTTCCACAGTGCCCCTTCCTACTCCCCAAAACCTTTTTTAAAACCAAAGCAGCACAGTCCTGGTCTCCAATAAAGATTTGCTGTGTGACCTTGGGCAAGTACCCTGCCCTCTCTGGGTCTTAGTTTCCTCATATGTAAAAAGGAGACAATATTCACAGAATCTCCCTTGCAGGCAAAATGTGTAAACAGTGAGCGTCAAGCTGGGCTCAGAGTAAACTGAGATAATGACCGTGATGATCATCTGAGCCTCAGTTTGCCCACCTGTGAAATGGAGGTATCAATTCCCATCTTCCCATGTCAGGGGCTTGGGAGGCTCAAACCTGCCTCTGGTGGCTCCGGTCGTCAGTCACAGCGGCATCAAGCCATCAGCGTGAGGAGTTCTACTGCATCCAGCACCTTCCCTGGGGCCTGGTCCTCATAAGGCGGGCAGCAAGCAGGGAAGGAAGGGAATCGCGCATTCCTGCCCGACGCCTTGCCTTCCCACCCGTGGCTAGAAGAGGGGCCAAGAGTCCCAGAGCTGTGATTTTTCACAACTGCTGGTCACCAGCTGTGTGGCCCTTAAGCAACTGACCTCACCTCTCTGAGCCCCAGGATCCTCTTTTGGGGCCCTAATCCTTGGGTTCCAGCCAGGGTGGCATGTGGCTCAGGGGCACAGCAGCTTTGGAACCCAGGACATGTGCCAGCGTGGGCACTGACGTTCGCTCCCTTGGGCTGTTGGGACTGGTTGGGAGGGCTCTGGGGATGGCCGCTGAGCTGGTGCACCACGGCTGAGGCTGGCCGGGCGGGCAGTGGGCAGGAGGCCAAGTTTCCAAGCCCCAAGGCCTGGGGCACATGGTCTGTGGGGTGAGGGAGGAGCGAGGCAGGGGTGAAGCCAGCACAGGTCTCTGGAGGAGAGCATGAAGGCAGGGCCCCGAGGCTCTGGACTCCCGAGGTGCCCCCTGCCGCCATGAGCAGGGCAAGGAGGCAGAGGCCAGTTGAGGCGCTGCTGCCCGGAAGTGCCGGCCAGAAAACTCTCAAAAGAAGCTCCTGGAATTTGGGTGGGAGGAAGGGGCAGTTAGGGAGCAACCGAGAATCAGACCCAGAGGAGTCCTGACTCCTGAGACTCGGATGTCAGGTCAGGGAGCTTGAGGCAGTCAGACCTCAGCCCCAGAGGGCTTCCTCATGCCCAGGGCCACACGGTACCCAGAACACCAGGACCCAGGGCCACGTGGCACCAAGATCCATGGCGGGGGGTCTCTGGGTCTGCTGCTGTGAGGACTCCCACTTAGCCAGACCCCATCCACAGACAGGTTCCTCCTCTCTCTCTACTGCCCTGACAGCCAGCTCGGCCCCCACACGTGCCTGGGCCCCATACTAGATTCAGAAAGTCCCTCACTCTTACAGGGTGGGGGAGGCACTACACAGTAATAGGCCCTGAGCACTGATGGCGGAAGGATGTGCATGCAGGCGGGATCCGGGTGAGGTGGGAGACTCGAACACCTTAAATTCAGGTGGCCCATCTCCTACCAAGCCCCGCCCCCAAATCCCTTTCCCTCTCCTCTTCTACTAATACCAGCCCCCACCTACATCCCACTCCTTCACTTCTTTTTTTTTTTTTTGAGACAGTCTTGCTCTGTCACTCAGGCTGGAGTGCAGTAGCATGATCACGGCTCACTGCAGCCTTGAACTACTGGCTCAAGCGATCCTCCCACCTCAGGCTCCTGAATAGCTGGGACCACTGGCACGCACCACCGCACCTAGTTAATTTAATTTTATATTTTGTAGAGGCCAGATCTCCCTATGTTGCCCAGGCTGGTCTCAAACTTCTCGGTTCAAGCGATCCTCCTGCCTCAGCCTCCCAAAGTGCTGGGATTACATTTGTGAGCCACCGTGCTCAGCCACCATCTCTGACGTCTAAGTGAAGGAACATTGGAGCACTGTGATATGAGGAGGGGCTCCCAATCCACCCACCCCCATCTCCCAGTCTACCCAGGGTCTTCCCTGAATGAGATTCCATCACTTCCAGGCCTCCTGGCAGCCCCAGCCTCCTGGCCAAACCTCTCCCAGCGCAACCCCCCTGGAAGGCAAGAAGAGTGGAGGGAAAGGGCTGGAAAAAGGCAAGCATGGGGCTGCCCTCTGACTCCAGGTGGAAAAGGCAGAACCAAAGTTATCCAAGCCCTTCCTGCCTCCACACCTCTGCCCCAGCTGTCACCCAGTCTGAGACGCTTGGTAGAGACTCCACCAGGACTTCAAAGCCATCCTGCTGGCGCCCCTCCCCTGCACAGGCCCCTCCCCCCTGTGGCCTCTGCTGCACCTCCACTGAGCCTTTCTGAAAGGACCATGGGTTGGAGGGCCAGCCTAGTCTTCCAGCTCTGTCACTACTAGCCATGTGACCTTGGGCAAGTCATTTCACCTCTCTGGGCCTCAGTTTCCTCATCTGTAAAATGGTGCAAGTACGACTTCCCATTTCTCAAGGCTATGGTGATGCATAAATAAAATAATGCGACTTCAAGCACTCAGCAGGCTCACATAGAGAGCACAAGAAATGGTGACTTTGTCACTGCTGTTCATTCATCCTGTTCACCATCACCTGCTGGGCACCCGCCACTGTGCTGAGTTACAGGTGCTATGGGGACCCAGAAGTGAGATGCACCAGAGAGCTGCCCTCCAGCAGCTCCCAGTTTACGGGGGAAGCAGACACAAATAGCTGGTGACAATAAGAAAACTGTAGCTTCGCACCAGGACTCTGCCATGCAAGGGGGGAGGGGGAGCTGGGAGAGCCCCTCCCCTCCACGCACCCCCCCTCCCCCGCCGCCAAGAGCAGCTTGAGGAGGGCAGAAAGTTGCTGCTTCAGTTCCAGTCCTGGCTTTGCTACTTGGCAGCTGTGTGACCTTGGACAAGGACCTTCACATCGCTGAGCCTCAGTTTCCTCATCTGCAAAATGGAGACAGCCCCTCCCCAATCACTTCAACCCTGGCTAGACTGCAGAGAGGAGTCAATACGAGGACATGGGTGGAGACGACTGGCATGGCAACTGGCACCTCTGTTCCCTTTTGTCCCCTGAGAAGGCAGTCCTGCACTGATCTTGAGCCATGAACAGGAGTTCTCCAGGCAGACACCGGAGAAAGGGCATTTCAGGCAAAGGGAAGAGCATGCGCAAGGCAAGTAAGTGGGGTATGAGCAAGCCAGACACGCTCGGGACAGTGGAAACCCCCAACTTCCTTAGCCAGGCCTTCGAGGACACCCAGGGATAGATTCTCCTCCGCCCTCTAGAACCTCCCTGCCTCTCACACCCGCGAAGGCGTCAGCCCCCTCCAGCCCGGCCCCCTCCCGCAAGCTGCCCTTCCACCACCTGCCAGAGAACTTCACTGGCTTTCCTTCGAGGCCTTTGACCCTCCCAATCCCTGTGGTCATCACCAGAGACAGGCCCACAGCAGGGGCTCCAGGAGCTGACTCTGGGCTTGTCCACTGCCTGACTCTTGGCCTGGACTGGGGCCATGGGCTGTCTCCCTGGCCACATGCTGGCTCCAGGAGGGCGTGGCCAAGGCCTTCTCCACCCAGGCCATCCCAGTCACAGCACTGGGTCCTGCATGCAGCGGACACTTGGGTGGGCTGACGCGGCAGAATGGGAGGGTGAGTGAGTAGGAAGGTGGATGGGGAGGAGGTGTGCAGGAGAGTGCAACGGAGGGGCCCCTGATCACAGCCTGGGGTTAAGGTCCAGGACCTAATCAATTGGTGGGGGGGAGAGGAGAAGCTGGGAGGTGAGGAGCAGCCAAGAGAGCCAGAGATCACAGGCAGGGAGTGGAAGCACATGCAGACAGCAGCCCCCACCCCCCGCAAAGCACCCTGCCCAGCCCGCCGCCCACAGAGCATGTACACACCTGACATCCACCTTCCTCCTAAGGGCCAGCAAGAGAGAAGCAGAGAGAGGGAGAAGCTGAGAGAGGGCTGGAGGGAGCAAGCGAGAGCCAGGGATTGGGAGGAGTTCCCCACGGCTGGGGGAGCGACAGCAGGTGCTGCCCAGGGCGAGAGTGCAGCAAGCGCCCGGCTCCGCACTGCCCTGGGCTCCGCACTGCGCTGCCCTGATGCCAGATCCTGCATGAGCCCCTGCCCGCTTTGAAGTCCCACCACCCAGCCCTGACGGGCAGTAGGGAAGGGGGCACTCACGTGTTGTTGACAATCTGGAGCCGCTCGCCTTTCTTGAAGGACAAGTCTGTCTCCGTCCTAGACTCATAGTCATAGAGGGCCACAAAGGTGGTCACTCCACCTGCAGAGAGGGGTGGGGTGTGTCAGAATGGTGGAGCCACACCCAGGGAAGGCGTGGGCAGGAGGGCCCTGTGCCCAGGAGGAGTGGGGATTTGTCTCCCACACACCACAAGCGCCCAGCCCAAAGACACGGTCAGGTTCAGTGAAGATGGGCCTGTGCATGTGTCCACTGCATCCGTGTGTCTGCGCATCCCTGCAAGGGCATGTGGGAGCGGGAGCATCCCTTCCTGTCCGTGTCTGCCCCCGGGGCTTTGGGCAGTGCTGGGTCCCGGCTTATCTGTTTGGTGCCTGTCTTGCTCTAGGACCAGATGTCCCCAATAACAAGCATCTTTGTTTTGTTTCCAGAGCCAGGCACATAGTAGGTGCTCAAGAAAGAGCTGTAGGCTGAACAAAGCGGTGAATGAAGAACACTGCCCCAGGGAGACTTGCTCTCTCTCCGTAAAGTGTGTCACTCTGGGCGCTCCTGGTGTCCAGGAAGATTTGGCTCCAAGTAACTGTCCCCTCAAAAAGGCCCCCGTACCCCCTTCCACCATTTTAAGCTACAGCCTCCACCTCCACACATCCCCCAGCCCTCCCTCCCTGCCTGTTTTGTGTCTTGGCGGCAGCGCCACTTCTAACGCCCTCCACAAGCTGCCCTGTGCTTCCTTCCCCCAGGTGGGTTCCGGCTGCCCAGCAGAGGAGCCCCAGCCGGTAGTAGGAGCTCCATATATACTTCTTGAACAAATGAATGGTGTGTCTGTGGATCTGTTTCTCTCTCTTGGGCGTGCGTCTGCATCTGAGGGGTCCAGCCCTGTCCGTGTGTCTCTGAGTGTTCGCATGTTCTCGATGCACCCGTGTGCATCTGTCGTCTGGGCGGCCACGATGGTGACTTCCAGCTGAGCATGTGTCTGTGTCTTGTGTGTGTCTTTGAATGCGCGTCTGACGGCATGCGCGTGTGTCTTCATCTACAAGTGTGACATCACCTGTGCATGTATGTGAGTTTGTATCTGGGTACATCTGCGTTGGGGATGTGTCCGCGGGTGTCTGTGACCCTGTCTCCACTCCGCATGTGTGCGTGTCCCGGGCAGGGGTGTAGCCGTGTGTGTGGCCCAGCGTGTGCGTGTGGAGAGAGTGCACGGGTCTGAGTGAAGTCTGCCTGGAGTGTCTGGGGCACGGCCGCGGCTCTCCAAGCGGCCCTCTCCGGGGCTGCGGTGACCGCAGAGCGCCAGCAGAGGGCGCAGGGGCGCATCCTGGCGCGGGCCCAGCCGGGGCCGCCCGGTGCCCAGTTCCCCAGGCGACCCCTCCGCCGCACGTGGGCCACGGGTCCCGACTCATTTCTGGGCGGACCGGGGCAACGAAAAAGGCCTGGGCGCCAGGCAGCAGCTTCAGGCCCGGTCCCCGCGCCGCCCCTCTCTCTGGGCCTCAGCGTTCCACTAGGTTCCCTTCACCAGACCCCGCGTCCTCTGCGCCTGCTCCACCCCAAAGGCCGCGGCGGCGGCGCGGAGCGCTTCACAGTGGGTACTGCCCTCCCGCACACCCAAGTCACCCAGGGGCGCTTCTCCTGGCTAGAGTAAGGGCCTGCGCAGAGGAGGCGACCCCGGGCACACAGCCCCGCCGCCTCCCCGCCGTGGCCCCAGGAGGGCGAGGACTCAGCGCCGCCCGCGCACTGACCGGCCAGCGGGCCCGTCCTCTGCGGGGAGGTGACGGTGTCCGAGGAGTTGAAGCCTCCGAACAGCTTGGGCTCGGCGGCCGCGGGGGCGAAGGCCGCGCTGGGGCCGCGGTGGCCGTCGGCCGAGGCTGGCTTGCTGGGGGTCTGGGAGGCGGGGAAAGCGCCCCCGCCAGCGCCATGCGCGTTCTCGGCGGGCTCCAGGCTGCGGCGCCGCTGGCTGGCATCCTTGGGCTTGCTCTTGTTGCTGCCCATGGTCCTGGCTGGAAAGAGAGGAGACACTGGAACAGGTAGGATTGCCGGGGCCCCTTGGCCGGCCTCCCTCCCACCCATCCCACAGATGGGGAAAACGAGGCCCAAAGAGAGGCACCAGGGCCCGGCACGGTGGCTCACGCCTGTAATTCCAGCACTTTGGGAGGTCGAGGCGGGCGGATCACTTGAGGTCAGGAGTTCGAGACCAGCCTGGCCAACATGCAGAAACCCCGTCTCTACTAAAAAAAGAATTCAAAAATTAGCCGGGCATGGTAGCACGCGCCTGTAGTCCCAGCTACTCAGGAGAACAGGGGAGGCAGAGGCTGCAGTGAGCCCAGATCCTGCCACTGCACTCCAGCCTGGGCGTCAGAGGAAGCCTCCGTCTCAAAAAAAAATAAAAAGAAAAAAAGAAAAAACCGGGGGGACGGGGGCACCAGCCTCTTTGGGAGAGTTAGCCTCTCAAAACCTCGATGGCTTCATCTGTAAAATGAGCGTAAGGATGGCATCCATCCACAAAAGGCCTCCTTGGTCCAGGGCCAGGAACGGAATAAATGCCTCATAATCAGAAGCCCCGACCTTACCCACCCACCTCCCCCTGAGTCACTGTTTCCCTCCCTCCTGGCAGGGACAGTATCTGAGCCACGCCTATGTCCCGGGCACCTAGCACATGGAGGGGGCTCACTGAGGGTTTGTTGAATGAATATGTGGCTGACAGGAATTGCCTAATGCTGGGGAAAGGTGCTAAAAGTGGCAGTCAAGGCCATACAGTGGGAGGTTTGAAGCAGAGATGACTGGCAGCTCACTCCAGCCACAGGGCCTTCGTGCATACCATTCCCACTGCCCAGATGCTCTTGCCTGGCCACTTCATCGGGGTAACTGGTGCTTCCTTCCGTTCTCAACTCAAAAGTCCCCTCCTCGGGAAGTGTCCCCCAAACCCTTTCACTGGGTCCCCCTGACTTCTGTCTCTCTTTGATAACATGTGGTCCTGTTTTGTTTTTGTTGTTTGAATTCATGTGGTTATGTGACTACTGTCATGGGCTTTTGTTCATCTTGTTCACTGCTGTGCTACCAGTGCCTAGCATGGGGTGTGGCACACAGTAGGTGCTCAGTAAATAGTTGAACGAATGAATTACTATTTAAGAGCTAAGGGACTTTAGAGCCAGAAACCTGGGAGCTCCAGAGAGAGGGAAACACAGAATAAACCAAGTTGAATACTCCCCCTGACACCCACAGTCCTGCCACCACCCTCTGCCTCCCACTTCCCCATCCGCAGGCCCTGGACCCTGACTGGTCCCAGCTCCCACTCAGACTGGCCTGGGTCTCCCCACCTATCTTGAACCCTGATAGGGCCATCACCTCACCTGGTAGAAGGCAGGGGCTGTCCCAGAGGACCTGGGAGGCAGCCTGGAGTCTTGGCACAAACACCAGGTGTGAAGTCAGGGGTCTCGAACTAGAAGCCCTCCTCCACCTCTCCCCGCTGTGTGTCCCTAGGCAAGTGACTTCCCCTCTCTGGGCCTCAGTGTCCTCATCTGCAAAGCAGGGATAAAGCAGACATCTCAGCACTGTTTTGAGGATGTCGTTAGAAAGAGAAATCCCAATGGCATCCACTCTCCAATCACTGTCCATCAGACTGTGGCTCTGGCCCAGTGCTGAGTCTCCTAGACCTAAAGTACCCTTCAACCCTCCCAAAGCTCTTTCAACCCTCTCAAAGCAAGAGTGAGGCAGGGTATGGCATGGCGCTGAGCGTGGCTCTGGAGCTAGGCTCTCCACGTCCAGATCCTGGCTCTAACCCTAAATAACTATGTGACCTTAGGCATGTGACTTCACTTCTCTCTATGCCCTGTTTCCCCATCTGTAACGATGGGGTCATTGTGGTAAGTGCATGAGGCACTGTAGAGTGCTAGGGGCATAGCAGGTCACCCTGCACCTCAGCCGTTATTGATATTGTGTGATCCTGGACACACCGGGGAGGTGGGTTCCAATTATTCTCTAGGGAGGCAGAAGGCCTGGGAATTAGTCCAGAATTTCCTCTGAGAACCCATGAGTGGGGAAAACACCCACTGGCTGGGTCCTCAGGCAAGACTGTTTGCCCTGAGCACCCAGTCCAGCTATGAGACGCCCCCTGCCTGTGTGAACTTCAGCCTGTCCCCTGTGTCCACGGGGCCTCTGGCTACCCAGCTGCACAATGGGGATATGGCTTGCATGCTCCCTGGGGACCACCCAGCTCTGAGAATGTGGGGTTGGGGAGGCCCTGGGGAGACCTGCTCAACAGCCCAAGGGATTACCACAGTCTCCTGAGGGACACGTCAATGAACCTGGGGATAGGGAAAGTCAGTTTCCATGGCAACCCATTCCATTGAGGTCACGGTGCCCATCAGCACTCACCCAGCTGGTGTCCCGCAGGACCTGCTGACCTGGTTACCTGCAGCCCGAGGCTTTATGGGGGCCCAACCAGCCCACCCCCTAGCCACTTGCTTCCTGGTGCAGCATTTAATAGTACCTACTAGCAGGCCCTGTGCTCCTCACTATAGGGGGACATAGAGACGAATTAGCCAGGTCCTGCCTCAGGACCCCAAAGCAGGGGACTTGTTTATGTGACTTTGAGAGGAAGTAAAAACTTTTTTAAAAAATTTTATGTAGGAAGAACTATTTAAGAGCCTGAATTTTCTTCAGAATAAAATAAATGTTGAGGAGTGAGCTCCCTGTCACTGGAGGTAATCAAAGACAGGAGAATGGGTACTTGGCTGCTGTGCCATGAAGGGAGACAGAGAGCCAGGGCTAGACCTTGAGGGCCCTTCCAGTATCAAGGATACATGTCCCCTCTTGGAAGGGGACAAGAAGAAAAGACACAGCCCCTGACTCCTGCACTCTTACATGAACACGAAGACCACTCCCCACTGGGGCACTCAGAGAAAGCATAACAAGGACCTTTAAGACGAAGCTAAGGGGACCTGAGCCACCAAGTACAATGTTTGTTGCTTTGTGGGACAGTTTTTTTGGTCTTGGTGCTTGGTCCTGGTGTTTGCGGAGAGGCAGACGGTCGAGGTTAAGAGCTGGAGTGCTGGACGGACTCCCTGGTTTGAATCCTGGCCTGCCGCCCTTCGCCTCAGTTTTCCTCTCTATCGATCGGGGATAACACCCATGTCAGGGCTGCTGGGAGAATCCGTGAGGGAAGTACACGGAACACGCTCAGGATGGCGCAGAACGTTGCCAGGCCTCCGTAAATGGTAACTTTTATCATTCAGAGTGGACTCTTTGGGAACTACCGGGAGATTTAAAAAAAGAAGAAAAAGAAAAGAAAATGCCCCAGAATTCTGCCCCTACAAGACAACCACCTGGGTGTGGTGGTGCATTTCCTTTCAGCTTCACAGCAACGCAAGACTCAACAAACTGGGGTCCACCCAGTAACCTCCACTGTGCACCTGCGACTGGCAGGGCCAGGCAGGATCCATCTCCAGGCCCCCAGAGACCGGGATGGGCCTGACACCCACTAGGTGCTCTGGAAATATTTGCAGAATAGACAAAAGACTAAATGAGCATGGATGTATAATTTGCATCCTGTTTTGTTCCTGCAATGCCGCACTGAAAAGACTAAATATCATTCCGTGGTATTCAAACACTCCCAGAGCTCAGACCTTGAATTGGACCTTGCTCTAAGTACTTTGCAAACATTGACTCATCGGCTCCGCATGATAGTCTAGGAGGTAAATACTAATCACGTCTTTATCTTACTGTTGAGGACATTAAGACACAGAGAGGTTGAAGAACTTGCCTGAGGTCGCACAGCATGGGTGAGTGAAAAGGGGCCAGGGAACTACACTGGGCAGGTGGGAATCAGGGGCTGCTCACCGGGTCTGGTGGGGAAACTCACGGGCCACACCTCCTACCTCCGGGGACTCTCTCTCACAAAGCAGCCAGATGGCCTTGGCAGAGGCGTGAGAGGATAAAGCAGCCCGCCCCAGTCCAAGAGAAAGCCTGAGAAAGCTCCAAGCAGAACGTGCTTGAGCAAGAATGGCCCACTGAGGGTCATGCGGGTAGCATTGTGGCCCCCACTTTCCAGATGAGGAAACTGAGGCCTGAGATACCCAGAGGAGATTCTACACTGCCGCCTCCCTCTTTTCACTTAGTGTGTTAGTGTGTTCAGAGCATCTTCTCAGGCCACTTTGAGCTCTCTCATTCTTTTTTTTTTTTTTTTTTGAGATGGAGTCTCACTCTGTTGCCGAGGCTGGGGTGCAATGGTGTGATCTCGGCTCGCTGCAACATTCGCCTCCCGGATTCAAGCAATTCTACTGCCTCAGCCTCCTGAGTAGCTGGGATTACAGGTGCCCGCCACCACTCACAGCTAATTCTGGTATTTTTAGTAGAGACGGGGTTTCACCATGTTGGTCAGGCCGGTCTCAAACTCGTGACCTCGTGATCCACCCGCCTCGGCCTCCCAAAGTTCTGAGATTACAGGCGTGAGCCACCGCGCCTGGCCATGCCTCGCTAATTTTTTTTGTATTTTTAGTAGAGATGGGGTTTTACCATGTTGGCCGGGCTGGTCTCGAAAGCTGCACAGCTATTCACTCGATGACTCAGTGAGGGTGGGAGTTAGTCTCGGGGGGCTGCTTCCGTGCTGTGGGACCTCAGGAGAGACCACCCTCTTCCCTGACGCAGAGCTCTCTCCTTGGGCTTCCTGATTCTGCGGCCCAACCGACAAGTCACCATGAGTTGCTCCTTGGAGAGAGGCCAACCTCCCCTCATCTCTTCCGCCACTTGCAGCCTCCAAGGTAGAGATAGACCCTTGCGGGGGTCAAGGGGAAGTAGTGGGGGCCCTGTACTGGGGCTGCCTGAGGTTCTCAGGGAAAGGTGGCCCCTTTCCTTTGGGAAGTCACTCCTCACCGCGGGCTCTGGACTCAGCAGACAGGGCCTGCTCTATGCCTCGCTCCCTCAAGAGGTGGCGGGTTGCTGCCATACGAACTTTTCCCTCAGTGTTCCCAGTGCCTTGAGCTCAGCAGGTCCCCAAGTGGCCTAGCACCTCCCGCTAAGCCTGCATCCCCCCCACCCCCATCCCCATCACTGACTCAGCGACACCACTGCACATCCCATCCCAGTCATTCCCCAGGTGTTCGCAGAGCACCTGCCACGTGCCAAGCCCTGTGCGGGGCTCTGCCTGTGGGGAGCCCTGGGGCAGCTCCTGAGTCTTCCTCAAGCGCATCCCTCCCCGCCACGCTGTCTATCTCCAGTCCTTCAGGCCAGGGCCCTGTGGTCCTGGGCCTGGACACAGCAGTGTGGGTCCCTCCAGCCCATCCTCCCCCCGCAGCCAGAGGCGGCTCTGTAAACCTCACAGACAGCCGGGCCTCCCCCGCCTAAAACTCTCCACGGAAAGCCACTAACAACCTACGTGTTCCTCAGAGAGGGGCTGGTTAAATAAAGGGGCTGCAGTCACCAAGTGGACAGCAGTGCAGCCATTATAAAGAATGAGAGCTGAGAGTGGCCCGAGAAGAAGCCCCAGCACACTGTTTCAGTGAAAAGAAGGCGGTGGCAGTGTAGAATCTCCTCTTGGCATTTCAGGGCCTCAGTTTCCTCCTCTGGAAAAGGGTTGTCAGCAATCAAACATGATAATGCAGGCAATGGGCTTAGTGTGGTGTCTGGCCTGTAGCAAACATGAGCTGCTATTATCTCTGTAAAGAAGATTGCGCCTGGGCAACACAGTGAGACCCTATGTCTATAGAAAATTAAAAATTAGCCTGTAGTCCCAGCTACTCGGGAGGCTGAGGTGGGGGATCACTTGAGCCCTGGAGTCTGAGGCTGCAGTGAGCTATCATCACGCCACTACACTCCAGCCTGGGTGAGAGAACGAGACCCTGTCTCAAAAAGAAAAAAAAAGAAGAAGAAGAAAGAAAGGAAATTGCACACATACATGCACTCTGCCTGGGCGACAGAGTCAGACCATGTCTCAAAAAAAAAAAAAAAAAGAGTAGAATTGGATTGTTTGTAACACAAAGGAATGATAGATGCTTGAGGTGACGGATACCCTACTTCCCCTGATGTGATTATTACATAGTGTATGCCTGTATCAATATATCTCATGTACCCCATAAATATGTACACCTACTATGTACCCATACAAATTAAAAATTTAAAAAAACTTTTAAAAAAGAAAGCTCTGGAAGGATTCCAAATTCATCACAATGTTTCATCTCAAAAGTGTGGGATGGGGAGAGGAAAATCCCTTTTCACTTTACACCCTGTATCAGTTGACATTTAGAAATGACTTTATCATGATTTTCTAAAATGAGAATTTTTTTTAAATATTCAAGAGCTTCCCATCATAACCCTGTGGATGAGGCCTAAAGCCATCACCTGGGTCCACACGGCCCTGCAGCTGGTGTTGCTGCCGTCTCCCACAGCGTGTCCCATCCTCCCACGGCGTGTCCCATCCTCCCACGGCGTGTCCCATCCTCCCACAGCGTGTCCCAGCCTCCCATGGCATTTCCCATCCTCCCACGGCGTGTCCCATCCTCCCACGGCGTGTCCCAGCCTCCCATGGCATTTCCCGTCCTCCCACGGCGTGTCCCGTCCTCCCACGGCGTGTCCCATCCTCCCACAGCATGTCCCATCCTCCCACGGCGTGTCCCATCCTCCCACAGCATGTCCCATCCTCCCACGGTGTGTCCCATCCTCCCACAGCATGTCCCATCCTCCCACGGCGTGTCCCATCCTCCCACAGCATGTCCCATCCTCCCACGGCGTGTCCCATCCTCCCACAGCATGTCCCCCCATCCTCCCACAGCATGTCCCATCCTCCCACAGCATGTCCCATCCTCCCACGGCGTGTCCCATCCTCCCACGGCGTGTCCCATCCTCCCACGGCGTGTCCCGTCCTCCCACGGCATGTCCCATCCTCCCACGGCGTGTCCCATCCTCCCACGGCGTGTCCCAGCCTCCCACGGCATTTCCCGTCCTCCCAGGGCGTGTCCCGTCCTCCCAGGGCGTGTCCCGTCCTCCCACGGTGTGTCCCAGCCTCCCACGGCGTGTCCCAGCCTCCCACGGCGTGTCCCATCCTCCCACGGCGTGTCCCAGCCTCCCACGGCGTGTCCCGTCCTCCCACGGTGTGTCCCAGCCTCCCACGGCGTGTCCCATCATCCCACAGCGTGTCTCATCCTCCCACGGCGTGTCCCAGCCTCCCATGGCGTGTCCCATCCTCCCATGGCATGTCCCAGCCTCCCAGAGCATGTCCCAGCCTCCCACAGTGATTTGCCCAACCACAGGGCACCACACACTCTCTCTCACCTCCTGGCTCACAGATGCTCAGAACACACTGCTGTTCAGCCACTACACACCAGCCCCTTCCTTCCTGACACTGAAGAACATCATCTCCACCTCTTCTAAGGGTGGAGAGCAGGCCAGGAGCTTAGGAGCTGAGAGAGAGGACTCCAGTCAAACCTGGGTTCGAGTCCTGGCTGCACTTCTTAGTAGCTACATTTTCTTGCACAAGTCACTTTGCCTGTGAGTTTCCTGCCCTTTAAAATGGGGTTAGAAACCTAACAACTGAAAAGTACGAGAGAGAGTCCATGTGGCAGGAAAAGAATAAGTGCACGATAAACAGCACACGATGTTGTTTACTGTTGTTGTGATCATTCCAGGGAATAAGAGGAGGCAGTGGCAGGGCCTTGAACACCAAGCACAAGGCTGGGCACTTTAGCGCTTTACACACGGCTGGTTCTTAATTGTCCCAACAGCACAACGAAGCAGGGACTGTAACTGCACCCATTTTACAGATGGTTCAGAGAAACTAAAACCTTGTCCAAGGCCACACAGCAAGTCAGTGCAGCAGAGCTGGGATGCTCACGGTTCAGGAGAGAGGTGAGAACCTACCTCTGGCTGCCCCGCCCCCACCGTGCCAATACCCCACAGCCCAAAGCAACACTCCGGGGTCAGAGCAAAACTAATACGACCCTCATCGGCCCACATCTTAGACACTCCAGGGAAGCAGAAGCATCACAGAGCAGTCAAAAACGTACACGCGTGGACCGGGCGCCGATGGCTCATGCCTGTAATCCCCAGCACTTATGGTGAGCCACAGGCGGGTGGATCACCGTGAGTCAGGAGTTT